TTACTTCTGTGTGTCAAGCCTTGACGTGACATTCCGGCCGTGTCAGATGTGCGGGCTAGGGCTGCTAAGGCTGGGGGCAGTGTAATGTTATCCCAAAGCCATGCAGGGATTTTCTGGAGGAGGCACGATCGTGTACGGCTGCGCATTTGCTCGTTCTGCAGTGTTCGACATGAATGGTGCTTGCTGTTTCCGGCGTGCCGGGCAAACTGTGCGCGCTGCCTCACTCGGTGTGAAGGAATTACCGCATTAAAACTGGACTCTGCATGCAGCCTGCGCGGCAAACGATCCACAAGCCCTCTTAGTCGATGCGGTTGCTTCCTGCCACTTTGAGCACCTTCCTGAAGAGCGGCCGAATGCCTTCGGCATGCGGCGTTTGCATCAATCCCGTTGGTGGGCCAGGCGGCCTACGATGTCCGAGCAATTCATGCCTTGGTCTCTTTGACACGAATTTGGTGTCCGGCTGCAGCCACAGCTTAAAATTTGCGATCCGTCTGAAGCCGTGGACCCGTTGTTGTCAAGCCTTGTGCCGTTAAAGTTCCCGCCAGCGACCGGGGTGAGGTCTGTGCCATGCAACTAGGAGCTCAGAATGTAAAGGGAGTTGTCGGTGCAAGATGTCGTTCGAAAGGCTGCCTCACCATCCTCACTAACTTCATAACAGGGATTGCCCGCATCGATGTCATCATCATGTCACCATTGCATCTGACGTGTTCGGACTGCTCGCGGTCGCAGAAGCCGCGAAGCACCTCCCACATCGGCAGCGTCGTTTGTGTGAGAGCTCCGGTGACTGGCGGGTGCTGATAAAATGAAGATTAGGGGCAGGCTGAAGTCTGTTGGCAGTGCTCGTACGGAAAGTAGGGCCTTTTGGTGACTGTAGTGCATGAAGACGGAGATCTGCATAATTCTCTGCCGGACATGTCAGTTGGATGTTGGCAGACTGCCCCGATGGGCCCGATGATGGTATAAAGTAGGCAGGGGAGCTGACATGGCCTTGCAGAATCTGACATGTCAGTTGAAATCTTCGAGTCTGGAGCCTTAGGCTGTGCAGTTGAGCTGCGTCGAAGGATCCCACAGCATTTAGTCGTCAAGTTGTCCACATTTCTTTCCAGTGACGGTCGATGGAGCGGACTGGGGCGATGCGCAGAGCCTTGACCAGCGCGATACAGTAGTCATAGCCACAAGTGAAAGCACAGCACGAATCGTCATCAAGGCTCCCATCCTCTTTCCTCGTCATGTCCTCCAGGCACCTCTGCGCCATCCAGAAGACGCTCGCTCATTCCCAGCTTTCGGATGCCTGAAATGAGACCCGTGTAGGCCACAGCAAGTGTTGCCAGCCTTGATGGTTCTCGCCAGGGTTTGCCGACAAGGTGCCCGTGCCGGAGCCCTGAAAAAACCCTGAAAAACAGTCCCGCGCTGTGTTTGGGACTCTGGGGATATTCTTCGAGCGCGAGACTATACCTGACGACGGCAGATGCAAATCTTTGAGCTGCTCAGATTGTGATTTTGATGCGACAAGCTGTGGCGCGATGTAGTTTTGTTCACAAGCATCAACCCCGACACAAGTGGCAAACGATCCCGAGTGTTGCAAAGATGAGATGCAGCCGGCAGGATGCGATCTCCGCAGTCTCTCACCTAGGACCAAGGCAGCAGCAGTTGCAGCTGGGAGGCAACGAAATGATCAGAACGCTCCCCTGACGACTTTCGCGCAACAGGAAACCAGCACCGGAGGCACTTGTCTCATGCTGTGTGTGCGGCTTAGTTTGAATGGCCAAGTACATGATGCCAAAATTTGAAGCTCTGGCCTTTTGCACTAAGCGGCGTGCCTTTGCCAGTGCGCTCGGGTGCAAAGCTTCGACGTAGACGAAATGTGTCGCCATGCCGTGTATGGCTCACATGAACTGCCGGATTTATGCAGCCGTGCTGGCCGCATCCTGCCAGCATCGGCAAACATCTGTAGGCAGGTCATTACTTGGGCGTCGCTGACAGGACAAGGGCCGGTAATGGCAGCTCTCTTTCGATAGCGGGGTGCACTGGCGATGCCCTCTCGAGCATCGATGAAAGCCTAATGCATACGGAGCTTGTCTGCTTCGCGAGTCTCTTTTGCATTCGCACCTCAGTTCGACCTCTTGAGGTGGGCCGATTGTTCCGATGTCAGACGCGGCGCAGCCTTGCGTTGAGAGAGTTCGTGCCATGCGTCCAAGTCGTGCCGCTCATGCAGCTTGAGAGGGCCACTTTCCAAAGACGACGTAGTGGCACGGGTCTTTGCCTCGGGATGGCCAGGTTCGAGGATGGTGCATGACAAGCAGACAAGCTGCTGCTTTTGGCTTCGCCGCAGCCAGCGTGTGCTTCGGGTAGTGGATGCTGGAGCTGTAAAGTTTCGTTCCGTGAGATCTTAAGCCCTGCAGGGCCTCCCCTCCTCTGATTCAGAGCCTCAGCAGGTCACCCGATCGTGCTCGTAGTCGCAGACTTGGGGAGGCGACATGTCCGTGTGGGCTCTTGGCCGCCCCAAAGATTCCGATCCCGAAACAGCCCAAAGCCAAACCCTCCTTCGGCACAAGGCTTCAGAAGCCTCGGCCTCTTCGTCTTAGTCCAGTGCCGGGGGGCTGATCCGGTCCAGGAGGCCAAGAACTCGGAGAGGGTTTCGGATGCGAAGCGATGCACGGGAAACTTTCCGCTGAGACATGCCGCTACGAGCTGGTACCCCATGGCCCTTATAGAGCCCTTGTATGGAGCCCTGACAGGATCCCTGAAGAGGGACCAATCCCAAAACCCCCCATGTCCGGGGCTTGAATTAACACCCTCCCAGCGACGGTGAAGTCCTGGTCAGCCACAGCACTTCTGAGCAAGACAATGACAAGCAGTCCACGCCGAAGATGCCTTGGCGTCTCCAGCTAGCCCGGGCAGACCGGACAAACCGCAGCGCAAAGCCCTGCAGGGTCTCTTTACCAGCCGTCCTCCTTTGTTTGAAAAGGGGCTTGGGACGGTGCCTCTTCCAGTCGAGCCACCCAAGCCAATGCAGGATTCAGGGTTCTCCCAACCCTAAAACCCGATAAGGTTAGGGTTTTTCGATATCCACAGTATCGGAGCCTAGCTTTCGGGACACAAATGAGTCGTTCAGGGTTGTTCTAAGTCAGGAGGTTCCCTGTCGGGGGCCCCTTTGAACAGAATCCTCAGCTTAGACCAACCACAACATGATCCGTCAGACATGGCACTGGCTTCCCCAACGACTGTGACAAAGTGATCAGAATTCCGCACATGGACGCCTTGTGCCGGGGTGGGAAGAAACGGAGAAAGGGTCGCGCTCGGCTCTAAAACGCGGTCTGGCAAGCTGGTCTTGACCCATTGGCTAGCGGGCACCGCAGAGTCACGAAAGGCTTGAGCCTCGTGGAATCGGGAAGTACACTGGCAAGATGCCTCTGGAAAGAGAGAAGAAGTCATCCGATCACCAGGCCGAAGCGAGCGAGACAGCTGATTCGCTAGATCCACGGATTGTGTCAGATCCCAAATTCAGATGTCTTCGCAGGTCCCAGGAGTCCTGTCTGCCGATTTCTCGCATCCGGAGCCCAAAGAGCCGGCAGTTTGTTGAGATACCGCGGGGACACATCATCTCAACAAATCCTCGGTCTCAGTGCCGTCGCTCGCCTTCGGTTCTCAAGTGTGCCGTCTTCAGAAGGCTGAGAAAGACCGGAGGGTACACAGCGATTCGAGGGCGATTTGCCTGGCCGTGGTTGGCCGGAGGTTGCAGGCGGCCTCTTCCAAGCAAGCTTAGGTCTTATAGGTCTTAGCTGCCCTTCTTCACGGGGTAATGTCGGCTGAAGCCACTTTTAGCTTGGTGAGGAGGCGGAGGGAGATTGGGAGCGAAGTTTGAGCATGCTGCCCCATCCGCTTCTGTCTGTAACCATCGTCCACAGGCCCGGGATAGAACCCGCGTGCGGTAATTGCACAGCTTGTTGCGAGATGTGCTGCCCGGAGACTGGCGGAAACTGCCTGTTGCAGGAACACAGGCTGCCAGTTATCTCAGCCATGAAACATCCTCTGGGGCGGGCCATGGCTTGCACTGATGCACTGCTACAGACCTGCAGCGCAGCGCAACCCTGCAGTCGTGTTCGTTTTCAGGCAAAGCGACGGTTTTGCATACGATGACACGCCACTAGGTGGTGTGGAGCTGGGAATCCGAAGCCGCCGGCAGAACCCGCGCGCATGAGCACTCACGTTGGCAGCTACAACCTGCTCGAGTAAAGTTCTAATTTGGCAGGCGCCTGGGTGGCGATGAAGTGCAGTGCTTGCTCTCCTGCTTGCCTTTGAGTCGGGCACAGCGCAGTCGCAAGTGCGAGGTCGAGCATTCCATTCCGGTGCCTATCCCTGCGGACAGTGCGGAGAGAAAGCGTCGTGCGATGCCTCATGACAGGCTTTCTCGGCTTCAGCGGTATGGCTGCAAAAAGCATTGCCGAGTATAGTCGCTAGAAATAGATAAATCGATTTCCTGTTGCTTCTGTATGCCAGCACGCCCGATGGGCGGCGCAGATCATTCTGACACCTCTAGTGACAGTATAGAACGACCTGATTGTGGAATAGACATGTTGCTGCTCCCGATAGTCACGAAACTGGTGTGTCTGTAGTGCACCGGAGCTCGGCAGTCTGATGCTGCAAACGCCGCCTGATGCTGGAGGCGGCTGGCTTTTGACTTCAGCTCCAGCGCCTCGCAGTCATTCATGGCAGGCCTTAAAAGGATAGCCACGCAAAGTCGGGTTTTGGGAGCCAGGGGACCTAGAAGGGAATCCTGCGGCCAGCCTTCCTCGTGGGTCCTGAAGACGACGGGCTGTGCCCGAGAGGATCCCTGGAAGTAGATGTCTGGGAGGTGCTTCGGTCGTCGGCGTGGGAAAGGTAGGCCGGCGAGGCGGTCACTGCTTGAAGCGCCGTCTCTTGCACGGCCTGCGCAACGCCGAGATGGTGACCTCGGAGGCGCGAGCCTTCACCAAGCGCGAGACACCAGAAGTGCGTTGATGGAGCTGGCACCTAAGCAGCATCTGTGGATCGAGACAGACCTATGGGACATGCAAGACGGCCTAGAGCTTTCGCCGGGAGATGGCATACTCTGGCTGGTGGCGGCTTTGGCGCAAGTCTGCCAGGAGTACGCTGCCGACTGCTCCGCGAAGGTTGAGACTGAGGTGCCCCGACCCGCCCCACCGGTTCGATCACACCGTCGGCAAGAGGTCCGTTTACAGGCCGACGCGAGAAAGGCAGACCGGATCGCAAGCAAGCTCGTCCAGCAACCGCAGCCTATGCCACTGAACGTCCTCAAGATTCGTTGACTGTCACTGGGTCCTCCCTAGACCTTGTTTCTCAGGTGTGTCTCCTGCCCTATGTTCGTGGCATCAATTGGCAAACTTACCTTCGAGCACCCCAAAAGTCCTAGAGGCTCTAGATCAGCAGGAGCAAGACGTTGGCTGCCAGAGGCCCACCCTGCCAAAGCCGAGAAGATCCGATCCAGCACCACCACAGCTGGAGGATATGCCTAGGCTGCTAGACTAGACGACGCGCCTGCCTTCGATGCATCAGGAATGGATCACAGGCTCAGAGCCCGCCAAGCGACACGTGTTTCGCTGGAAGCATTCGCGCAGCCGCTTCTGACGGCCGTGTTCTCCAAGCCTCCTGGCCTAGGGCGACGGCCTGCTGCAGGATGTCGCTGATTGTAACTTGAGAAGCCCCAGCCGCCAGCATGCACAAGATGCACAGGCCTTCCACCGTTCCCGCGGCCTCCGATGCCTCTGTACTAAGAGTCTCAGCGATTGCTGTGCAGGACAGGACCTGACCGACTGTGGCCTCTTAACAGGATGCCGCCGAGTAGATGGATTCTGAAACTCTGTAACCTCCCAATGCTTGCTTCCTCACGGTGCAGTGCACAGCTGCGTGTTGCCCCTACCTGTGCAGTGCCGGCATGGCAAAGAGCCATTGGCCATTGCCCAAAGCTCATCCGCAGCGTAGCTGCTACTACAGCTTTAGCAAGACAGAGCGGGACTGCTAGGAGTGTGAGCTGTTTCGCATGTCTGGAATTCAGCGGCTTTGAAGCGGAAAGCCAGACAATAGAGAAGAAGCGACCTGCAAAAGCCTTGCTCCCTGGATTTTGCGGTCTCGCCGATGCCGCATTGCTTTGGGGCGTGGTCCGCTCACCTAGGTCAGCCGGTTTTGAAATGTGGGGGTCCACCTGGCCTCTGGATTTCTGAGGCAGGCTATTCCAAGCTGCTTCGGCCGACCGGTCAGCAGGCGACGAATCCTGCATAGCTTTGCTGCCTTCGGGCTGCGCAGTTTTTCCCATCTGACTGGAAATAGTCTGCTGTCAAAACACGGTTTGAGTTGCTGCAGGTGCGAAGTCAGCGTGCGACAGTTGGAATGCTTGACTGACAGTGGCTAGCTCGTACATCCGGGCAGCCAACATATCTTGTAAGCCTCGTGCGAAGCCACCCTACTAGCACTCACGAGGCCCCCAGTGCACAGCACCCTCGCTCTTGGGCAGTACATATGTGGTGAATTTCTAAGCCTGGCTTCACCAAGCTCAAGGCAGCGTTGCGTTTGCCCGCCGAGTGGCACATGGCGAAGTCGCACGAAACTTTGAGCCTCGAGAACGCAGAGTCGGGCCGGGCCTCCCTCTCGAGTACATTTACATTACTTCCCGACGCAAGTCCTCGCGCGGGCGGTGCCTTGCCGTCGAGAGCGCTTGCTGGGCTTCGAAGAGTCTCTTAAGGCCGTAGCCGCTGCGAGAGTGCGGCACTGGCTGAATAAATGTAATGAGAAAGGGAAGAGATGAAACGAATGTCGTGTTGATTTGTCCAGTTTATGGCTTGAAAACGGGACCAGCCGTCTCTGCTGGCTCAATCGTTACGATGTTGCACCTATAAGGAGCTGCACATGTGCCATGTTTGCCAGTCGGAACTAAAACATGTGCTTGACGACTGTGCGATTGAGCCACTTACCCTTGTCGCTATGCTCGATTTGGCACTTTAGCGGCACGATGCAGCTTGCGCCTCAGCCACGGGACAGGCAGTGCTAAAGCCGGTCGCCAGGCATGTTGCAAGAAGCCCTGCAGCGCTTTTGCCGCCGTACATGCCCGCATATCTTTGCAAAGCACGCAGAGACTCGCATACCCCTGCGGCTACATGTGGCGAGAGGCAGTGTCAGCAAGCATTCTGAGGGGCAACGGATTGCGGAGTATCTGAGCAAGACGATCAGAAGAACAGCCAGACGCACTGCTCGTGCTCTGACACGGCTCATAGGGTCGGCCGTGACGGTGCGCTTTGCACGTCCATGCACGTTCTGGTGATGTGTCAGACCTAGCTGGGAAAGTCTCTCGAAGTCCTTTGAACGGTGCGACTAGAAAGGCAGAGTTTTGTGGACAGTTTGGGATTGCCCTGGTGCTCCAGCACCTCTGTCAAAGTGACTCGTGCCTGCATACAACCGTCTGCTCGCTGCGTGGCATCACTGGGAAAGCATAACCCCGGCCACCCATGCTGCGCAGCACTGATGCCAGTTTTTGCCAGTGTATGAGCAGGTATAGCTGCAAAGCGCCCGTAAGGCTTTAAGATCAAGTAGCACCTCCTCAACAGGAGTGCAGCACCCTACCGAATTTCTAAGTAGAGGGTCCATGTAGTTCACACAATGACGCCTGAGTTTTACGAGGCATGCATCATTCTGGCGTGTTTCTGGTTCTTGCTATCCAGGATAGGTATAGAAGACTCCGGAGAGCTTGATCTTTGTAGGCAGGTGGCTAGCGAAAGACCAAAGAGAGCCTGGCAACAGAGGAGCATAGCCTTCAGCATTTTGCAGATCTGCGCTGCCTCGGCAGGTGGCAGCCGACGTAACTTGTCTTGCTTGCTTTTGAACAAGACCCTGACTTCGCAAACTGACAGCTCCCTTTGGAGCACTTTTGGCCGAGCCGCGTCTCAGTTGTGCAGGGCCAAAGGTCAAGCAGCTTCGAGGTTCGAGCGCTGCGGTTGCTGGCGTTGTCGGTGGCATGATGCCCATCTTCAGAATGATTCTGCGATTACCAGCGCTGCTGCAGGCAATCGCCACGCATAGCAGGGCGGGCAGGACCAGCAGCCAAGCTTCTGCAACGCAGGCAGAGGTCCCACCTGTACCAGTAACGCCTGTTTCCGTGCCAGGCTCCGGAGGCAGAGGCCTAGGAAGTAGCCGGGCCAGGCTCACCAGCTTCCCTAAACCAAACCCTACAGGGTCCAGGCTTTAGGGTAGGATTTGGGGCTTAGGGATGCATTGGCTGTGCCGCTTCCTTGCGGAGAGCGCTGGGTGCCTACTTGCTGAGTTTGCTCTAGGCCGTTGTTTCCGAGGTGCCTCCGGCAAGCAGCACAGGCGAGTGGTGCGAAGGCCAATACAGCCGGAGCCGTGAAGATCACGCGGGTCAGTATCGCAGCTCTTCAAAGCGGAATACCATCATGTAGGGTTCCTTGTTATGCCCTTATGATGGTATCAGCTGCTTGTTTCGAGAGAGACCGTTCGAAGGCGCTTCAGGAGGGATGGGCCTTTTTAGGAGCTGACTCCTCATAACTCTCGACTGACGCAGGCCGCCCTCCGATGAGGCTGAAGTAAACCATGTCGCCATCTGTGCTCCACGTTGCATAACTTCTTAAGGCCTGAAGGTACACACGCCTGTTCCAGAGACAGAGGGCGACTGATCGCGTGAGTTGGCCGCAGTAGACAATAAACTCGGTAAAGGCTAAGGCTGAGCCGCGCCCATTGGAAGCACCTGCACCAGGACTTAATCGGCACTGAATTGCCCCTAACAGGCGTGCCGCGGTGAAAGGCTCTAGTAAAGGCACGTCTTCGTCCAGCACAGGGCTCCCCGACATCTCTGCACATCGGCACCCCAGCAAGGCCTGCCCTTTCTACTCTTCGAAACTCGCCTTTTCGTGACTTGGGACCCGGCTGTGATGCCTGGCCAGTGCTAGCCGTAACATAGCTCCCTGGCCTGGCAATTTGTGGTGGCAGTGCGGGGCAATGATCGGCCACCAGGTTGCTGGGATTTTCGAGCGCTGAAGACGGCATTAAGAAGAAGACCAGTTGGGATTAGGGTTTAGGGTTGCAAAAAGGGTAACCCTAAACCCTAAACAGCTCCCCATTCTAGCAGGCACCGGTGTGTATGGGAGCTCCCCGTGCCCTGCTCCGCAGCACTTAGCAGGATGCGTCATGTCTCGGTGCGGTCCTGAGTTGTTGGTCCACTGCTCTCAAACACCGAACATCCTTCAACCGCCAAATGGGCGTTTCCGAAAATCAGGGGGGCCTTTTTCTGGGGGGGTACCTTATTCTGGGGTTCTTGTAACAAGGATCCTACCATTTAGGGTACTTTATTAGGGTCCCCATTTTCGGAAACTCCCAACCCCTCAACCCCTCATCCCAAGACCTCGGCTCTAGAAGTCGGAAACCCTGAACCCATAAATCCTGAACACGTTAGATAAGCCATAAGCTCTACCTGGACCCTAAGGAACCTACCTTTTTCGGGTTCCCTAATATGGTTTCTGTCTATAAGTCCTGAAAAAGGTAGGTTTCGAGTTCCGGAATAGAATATGATTTCTTTATATAAGTCCTGAAAAAGGTAGGTTATCTGGGGTCAGGTAAACCCTATAATCCCTGAACAGCCCTAAACCCTGCAAGCCCCAAACCCATAAATTCCTAAACCCTAAGGCCTTCTGAAAGTCAGTGATAGCGGACGGACAAGAGAACATACAATCAGGAATAGCCCTACGGCCGCCATACTGCGAGATTCCCGCTTGGCCCAGGTCCTGCAGGGAAATGGACACGCAGCTTCTCGCAAACCAAGCAGCTCGCCTTCTTCTACAGGAGGCCAACTTGTGTCTTCTTCTGAGATCTATGTAGCATAGGAACACGCAGGACGTTTAGTGTGTACTGATACATGCAAATTTGATGATGTATACATTTCTGTGTACATGCGCGTGTGTGAACATGTTTTTCGCCGCATCGCATCACGTCTCATTAAGACAAGGCCAGCACATTGGACGTAACCTGGCATTGCAATAGATTGCATCACTACATTGCACGCAGACACTGCAGACGCTACATACAAGATAAAAATACATTCTGCATGCATCCATCCATCCATCCTTCCTTCCATGCAGGCAGGCAGGCAGCCGTGCGTGCATGCATCCAGGCCCGTGCTACTACCTGTGGAACATAGCTACATTGTACACGTCAACAGGACAGACATTACATACAGAGGATAGATGGGATACATTGCAGACATTACACACATTACATACTCCGCTACATACCATACATGTATCACTTA